ACCGTCGGACCTCCTCCCCCGCCCTCCTTGGGCGGAGGCAAGGCTACCAAACAGAATGCTCCTAAGCTACTCAACAATGGTGGATACGCATTCTCAACAACTTTCCCCTTCCCTCCCAAAAACACCTTGTGGAATTCCGCCAAACCCTTCCTAGGGAGTTCGTCACCGGGTAAATCTCTTTCCCCGCACACCACGAATGCCGGCTCCTCCTCTTCCATAATGACGCCTCTCTCGATCTCTGTCGTCTTTGAGTCCTTGCCTTGCATCGTACTCCCAATACCCTCTCCCTCCATAACCCTATTTCTGCGCTCCCAACTTGACTCGATCGACTTTTGTTTCGTTTTCTCTCCTCCCTACCCACATTTCACTTTTATACCCTTAAAAATTGTAAATTTCTAATGTCCCCGTGGACACGGTACCGTTCCGGGACCGTTTTGGAACTTCCGGTTCCGGTATGCCACCCCTTCGTACCGGTACCGTGACCGAACCAGATGGTACCAGTACCTGGACCGGCGGTTTTGTTACCGGATCGGCCGGTTTTGGCCACCTCCAATTATTTATTTATTTATTGCTTTTTTTAACATTTTTAAAGTGTAAAGTTATTAATATGCAATTGTTAAACGAAAGAATGAAATAAAAAAATCAAAAAATGTTGTTGTTATTTAAATATTGTAAAATGAGTAATACACGAAATGAAGAACAACTACATTTAATATCTTAACGGTTAAAAAAATACGACGAGGTAAAGAACCGTAAAAAAATCCTCGAAGAAGCTTATATATCGCTCACCTAAAAAAACTAATTACATATTCACATATATACATTAACATGAAAAAAGTTTATAACTTATTCTTTAGAACTCGGACTTCCATCTGTGGTTGCATTCATGTAATGCTCGGAATTGAATTCGTACTTTGACTCTTGAGCTCGACGTCTTTCCAAGAGCCAATCTCGGTTGCAAACAAGTGTTTCAAGAGATTCAGCACTAAGACAACTTCGGAACACAGTTAGAATGTTGCCGCCAGCACTGAATTCGTGTTCCACTGCTACAGTTGATACCGGGACGGACAACACTTGTCTTGCCAGTATTC